ATGGCCGAACACGGGAAGTTCCGTAGAATAAATCAGGGGCGCGTTGCCGTGTAGACGAGGAAAATCGGCGTGTAACAACGGCGATGCATCCAACGCGCTCGTACTGCAAATGTGTTCGGTGCACGTAATGCAGCACAGGGAACAAGAACCCACTGCGCGGCCGTACGTATGCCGCAAAATGTAAAAAATTCTATACCAGATTTCGCAAGACCTCTTTCGCTTTTGCATTGCCGTTGTAATCTGTAGTTGCCGTGACAATACCAATTTTACTTTACTTTTAAATGGCATAAGATGTCAAATTTATATTATAAATATATTATTACGAGACACAGAATGGTTTATATACTACATCAAGATATATGTCTTGATTTTATATTTAAAAATCTATTAAAAAAATATATAGGAAATTTTACAAATTTATCGAGTCTTTGGTATTTCATTGGTGTTTAAATGATTATTAATTGAAAGCAAAACAATGATACAATAAATTACTTTATTTGTGCAGCAATTGCGAATTTACTCGTAATTTCAGTGACTTAGGGATTTGTAAATAGTATATTGCTGTAACGTGCTAATTCGTTAAATTATTGTTATATAGGTAAAATAAAGTCAAAGTGAACTGGATCATTGATAAAGACAAACTGTTATACACTTAATTGTATTATATTAGAATATTACTAATTATTCTTAAATCTTTGTACTGTAATTTTGTAATACTCTGTAAAGAATTACGGAAAATCATTAAAATGTCATTTTTAATTGCTAATAGTATGTACAATTTGCTTTCGACAAACGGAAATAGCAGCATTAATATGATAATGCGATAATGCGGATACTGTGCGATGGGAGTAATTTCGAGTGTAATGAGTTCCAATTAAAATAACCAAGCTATAAATGACGACGGGCCCTTTTACGCTTAAATTAATATGCAAATAACTTCAAATTTATATAACTTGAACTATTTTGATGACCAGTATTAGTTTTTTAATCTCTCTATCTCCCCCCCCCTCTCTCTTAGCAACAAACTAAAACATAAGAATATGAATTGTTAAACATAACTGTTAAATCGTTTATAGATATATATACTTGGGCTGAAACAGTTGATACGTTATCGTGAAAAGTATCTTGCTTGCATAATATTTTATAACAAGTTTCTTTGAAAATATAGTAAGAAATATAGACGAAAGATTCACGAAGAAGTCCCACTATGAATATATTCGACGAATTAGAGAATAACTTAAAAGACACCCAAGCAAAGCTGCGGGAGTTCTCGATAATTAAAACGCAACCACTGTAACGTCCGCATTGACGTTTGCTTGGACTACTGCGCCATCCGGCAAACGAGCGCTTCGATCCGAGAGTTTCTCGTAAACGTCTCATCTACTAATTACTACCTTAAAATAGCCACCTATGTGGCCGCTGTGATGTTTCAGCACTAATTTTCAGATGTCGCGAACGGTCCCGAAGGGGCTAATGCGTGAAATGTTACTCGACGAACCCACTATGAACTCTAAAATTAAGGGAACGCGGCAAACGAAAGATACGCGGGACCAAACATCTATTGGGCAAAGGAATCGTGAATTTACAAAATGAAAATTTAATGAAGCGATTTATCGATTCTCAGATATGTACATCTAAGAAACAATGTTTGAGATAATTAATTCCAAGATATAAAATAACATTGAACCTGATCTTTTCTAATCCGTATTCTCTTTTACTCTAGATGTTTCTAAATTTGTATACGTAACGATAGCGTTTCAAATGTTAAATATTTGCTAGATTCGAAAACTTAGTTTACTTAAAACAGACAAAAAACAGCAAAATCTTATTGCTGATATGTATGCTCTCGGAATAATGTACAGCGCTTTAATCTCGGTGTAGAGAGGATTGCAAATGCAATATCCATCGTGAGTATTACAAGTAGTGCATATATACGAAAATATATATATATTCCCGCCTGACCATTGGTCCTTGATTCGAGAGTAACTCGAGATGTAACATCGATATCTGAACGCAGCAGGCATCGGAGCCCCTGATCTAATTATGAATGCGCCAACAATACCGGCGTTCGTATTTATACGTTCCCTTACTATTGCCAAACCGGACGGGAGTCCGGTACAAATGCAGCATTACGATTACAAGCGCGGGAAGCGCCAAGAGTAATTGCGCTTGTACGCCGATATCGATATTAATTATAACCACGAATGCGAGTGTTGCTCGCATTGAATGACCATCTGCTACGTAACGAGTGTAATACGTACTATTTGCCGATCGAAAATAATATCGATTGCATTAATCGTATTGAGCTTCGTATTAAAATCACCACGTGTAATTTACTATAATAAATAACAAAAATATATTTACCGCTGACTCTATGATATATTTTATTCTCTGATATATGTACACGGAGAGAATTTTCTCTTAAAATTTATCCAGAAAATCGCATAATCATGGAACAACACGGCATTTTGAAGAACCTTATGAGAGTTTTCTTAAATTTCATTCGTACATACATTTTACTAGTAAAATATGTGGCAAAATTTCAAAAAACTCTCATAAAATTCTTTGAAATGCCGTGTTGTCCCACGATTGCATGATTTTCAGGATAAATTTTAAGAGAACATTCTGTCCGCGCATTAGATGTACTTTAACGTAACAATTCTATTAGGATGAATCTTCTCTTTATTTTTAATTTTTTAATGAATTTCATGTTAACATGTTTCCAAATCTAATCAACTATTATTCAATATCGATGACTACTTTAAGTTGCATCTCGATTGCATTATATATATAATTATTAAACGTTAAGTGATTAATACTTTTATGCTCGGAAGCAGTGATTCATTAACTCTAAGTAAGGGCGGCGAGGTGTATTTTACATTAAAGTGGCTCAGATATTGTACTTAATACGTACATAATATATTTAAGTAGGCGGTGAAGGTAATACTCTTGTTAAATTAAAAATCTCGATGACCCGAAGCAATTGCAGAGGATCACGTGCGCTGGCTTCATTATCGTGTGCGCATTATGCATGATAAAAAGCTGCACGATAGAATAGCAACTTGAAGCTTATACAGAGTGTCCAAAAGCTACAAATTAAATTTTCATTCCGGATTCAGTGACCTATTTGGAATCGATTTTTCTTAAAGAAAAGCGATGAGTCACTTATAGTTTCCGAGTGAGTAACTACCGAAAATAAATGACTTTTAAAGAGGTCACTGTCTATTTAAAACAAAGCCAAGACTGCTCCTTTGTTAAAGAAAACCGATTAATGATTTTTCCTCGATCGCTCACAATTATACAGATAATTAATTTGCGACTAATATACGGCATTAAGTTGCAGCCGATGCCCGAAACAACGAGCGTCAAGATTTTGAGATGATCCGCACCATCTGGACTTACAAAGGGAAAAGAGCGTATCCGGGAATGGGTGCACTAATGCACCGGCTGCGTAAACCGCGGCGATGGAGAGCGAGCGATGCAAGAACGGTCATGCTCATAAACAAGTTGCACGAGAGCGGCGAAATGCGCTTTTAGAGGGCACGTACATTTGCCCTCGTCCTCGCGCCCTTTGACACCGTGATGGCCGGTGTAACAAGGATTTGCAATGGTAACGACGTGTCTCGTGGCCTGTAAAAGCGCATAAGAGGACGCGCTGTGCCCAGAGTATTGGCGTTAGTGCTCCAGTATTCTACGAGGACACGTCCAAGTGTCTTCGGATACGACAAAAGAAAAGACTTGTAAAAATTTTTCCAACGAGGAAAATCAACGCGCTAAATTTTCCTCATGTAACATTCAAAGAATGTATTCTCAAGTCGCCTTACATATATTTAAAATTGAAAATTTTATATACCTCTGCGTCTATTTATAAGCGTCGGCGAGGGATGTGCTCGAAAATTATCGATAGTGCACTCAATGTTATCGAAATGCATTAATATCGCTGTATGGCAGTAATGCACAGGTAGAAAAGAACGAAATATCCAAGTCTTGGCACATGTATGCCAAAGAGAGTTTCAGTTAAGAAACCTACATGGCGTATTCTCAATTCTCATATCATTTTTTTTTACGTTTATATTCTTCAACAATGTGACGTAACTTTTATACTTTCTTCAGATGATCTAACTTGTACATTTTTTTTTCAGATAATTAATTGTATGTATTGGATCGCGTATTTGCTGAAAACTTATGTGGCAAACCGCGCATCGGCAATCGACTACACGCGCCACGTGCAAGAGTTTAAATCTGCCCCCCAATATAAAAAAAAAGTCAAGAGCATCTCTAGTAATTTAGAACGAGGACATTCACGAAGTTTCCTTGACCTCCCCGCTTTCGGAGATATTCGCGAAAACTCGAAAGCGAGCTACGCCGTTACTTCGAACAGCTATTTGCAGCTTGCTTGACTCGCGCAAAAAACTTCCTCGAGTACATTCCCGATTTAATCGGATATTTCCATCGTCACGATTCTACTCGATAATGGAATTGAATCGTATTTCTCTTTTGCATTATTTAAGAGACACGTGCATTAAAGTGCTGCCCTGCCGCGGAGCCGTCCGCGTTCTTGAGTAAAAACAATTATTCCAGAATGGTGCAGTATGTTCGAGTCACAAATATGTAATGAAAACTATGTTACATATTTGATCCTCTGTTCTAAATATCCTGTAATCTCTCAAGTTTAATGTAGATTATGTATAAAAGATGTGGATTCACATTCGTATTAAAAGAAGAAGCGTTAAGAGACGCGTCGATTTAAAGAAAAATTTAGAATTACACATAAAATTTATATTACTATCTCTAAAACATTTAACATATTTTAAGAGTGAAAAATAATTTCTCACATGTCTACATTTATTTCCTGTATTTAGAGAAAGAAATTCTCAAGAAAAACTTTTTTAGGACACAGCCTTGCTTCTTCTTTTCGTAAATAATTAACATTGCAACACGAGTGTGCATATACAAGTACTTTTACTACATATCATTGCATATAACTGAAGTACACTCACGAGATGCGAGTCCTTGGTGGTGAACGTGATCGGATCTGTGGATCTGGGTTCACGACAGTAAAAATCCATCTTTCCCCAAGCCGCAGCACCCGCCGCTCCGCTCTTGGCCGCCTCGATTAGCTCCATTCTGATTCTTTCTGCAGCAAACTCCACCTGCGAACACATGGTTAGGAGAATTAGTACACGTTTTGAAAACGTAACTTGAACTAGTAAATACACTGGTCAAAAAAA